TGGATTTGGAGATCCTGACTCTGCAGAAGCACATATGTGTAAAGACATTTTTTAAAAACTATGGCTGCTTCAAGGCATATATTGCGTAATTTTCAGTGGCTCTGTACCTAGCCTGTGCTGCACATCTTTTCTTGGTAGTAAGCACACATGTGTACTGGTTTGGTTCCTGTAGTTCAGTAGGCAGTGCAGATAAACAGTTCCTTTTGGGTTGGTGATTTAAGCTCTGTTATCCAAAGGGTTATTTCCAAACCGCTGATTACTTGTGTGGGAGGGGGGAAAAAAGCCAGTTTCTATCAAGTTTTGTGTTGCTCAGGGATTAAAATCTGATTTTCTGTCGGTTTGACCAAGTTGAGCTTGGACAATGGGAGCTTGGTTGGTTAGCTGGGATAGCTTTGTTGTGAGGTTTTTTGAGGGGGAGTGGAGGGGTGTTTGAGGATGGTTCTGGGTTTGGATTTTTTTTATAGAGTGCTAGGAAAGCAGTGCTAGGAATACAGTGAATCTACAAACCTGTCTCAAAGGAGAGCCTTCATCCCTGTACTCAGTACGAAATAGGACATTTCTGAAGCCGTGGTAATTTTTCTTTCTTGCTTGCTTGCCACAAGTGGGTTTTGCTCTGTGCTTTAAGCTAAAACCCTTTGACTATTCTTTTAGCTCTTCCTTTGGTTTATTTTTCAGTTTGCTCTCGGGTATCATTAGCAGGGATGTGAAATACAGACAAACTTTCTAAAGCCAAGTGCTATGGAAAAGCAGAGCAGAGAGCCTGGATTCCCCCGTCATTCACAGAACTGAGCCTTCCAGGTTAGGGTAGGTTGCGTTTTTGCCACCATCTGCTGTGCCTGGGGATCCCAACACAATACTTTCCAGGACCAGTAACCTTATACCGTTTGGTGTAAAAAAATAAAATAAAATAAAAATATATCTATAATGTAGATTTTTTTTTATTTTTTGGCTTTGTCAACTTCTACTCTTACGTGAATATGTGCTTTCAGAAGGCCAATTTTAAGAACAAATTGTATGGCAAGAGAACACGTAACACATGTAAGAAATTATCTAGGATTTTGGCTCTGAAATCTGTATTTGGGACCTGACCAGTTTTTCAAGTTCTGACCCAGCAATATGCAGGTAACTTTGATAATCTTTTACTTAAAGAGCACAAATGACCTCAGCACTGAAGCAAACTTCTTCCCTAGATTGTCTTGTGCATTTAGCAGCTTCTGGTGACTTTTTTGCCATGTATTTAGAGCAGACTCCAGTTAGCATATGAGTAACATCATGTCAGTCCTAGTTCTTTCGTTCTGACATCTCTTTTGGCTCCCAGTGCGATTTGGCCCGATTTTCCAAAATGTTGATCCTGAGTCCAAATGTAACTTTGTGGGTGGTACATATGTCAAGCCCTAGTTCAGTATTTTTGGACAGCAGTAGCATTTCATAATTCTTTTGAAATGAAAAGAAGAAATGAAGCTAACTGAAAAAATCGCAGCTAGATGTAGCTGGGCACAAGCTCGCCTTTTCTACTCCCCCCTCCACCTCCCTGTTTTTCCATTTGGAAAAAGAGGTTTACGTGGCAGAAGCACTTGACAGGATTCAGGCACATTCAGAGCAATAGCATATCCTTGTGTTTATAACCTGTCTTGTCATGCCCTGGTGGTGGCCACTGAGACCTCCTGGGATGCAGATGAGGAAGATGGGGAGAGGGAAAGGTTGCAGCCCTGTGTTGGTGTTTGCTAGAGCAGTGAGCTAGGCTGAATTACGTAGGTGGCTGAATAAGGCCATGTTGGCACTAAGAAAGGCAAACAACCCCCTCAGGTTCTCCGTATGTCTGTGTTTGATATACCTACTGCCATATTATATCTTTATATACAGCACACTCTAAACAGCACAGGAAGGTATAAATACAACTTTATTACATAAAATCAAGTTAAATAGTCCAGAAGGTTGTAGCCTGTGTGAAATAAACACACGTATGAAGTACAGGAGGTTTCACAGGGCATAAATCAAAATGAACTTCATAGCTTCCTTCCTTCCGTCTCCCCATGCAGTTGCTGAGCTGCTCACGGAAAAGCTGTCCTTCATTCTTCCCTTGCAGCAAACCACAGGCTCATATATTATTAATTGTGTTTCACTGGTAATGCAGTACATAGGTACATTTTCTAGAGTGTCTCAGGTTGCTTTTCAGTGTTTCTGTGCCAGCTCCACTGCTGTGGTTGTAGTTCTGAGCATTGTTTTTCAAGTGCTGATAATTTTTCAGGCAATAGCAACGTCAACAGAAAAGGCATGTTTGAGATGAGTCTTGACACCCAAGTTTTGAGCCCAAGAGGCGATTTGCTGTGAGAAGACACAAAATAAATCACAGTAGCCCTCTGGGCCTCCTTCACTTAGTCACATAGCTTCAGGAGGTGACAGGCTAGCCAGCTGCCCTTCCTAATCCGCTGGTGAAACAAGTTAGCGTCAGCCTTTTGCAACATGGCCTCTTCTAGCATCCTTGCACCGTTGTGTCACAGTTGAAGGCCCTAGGGACAATGGTCCTTATGGTGCTCCCATAAAAGATGCTGGACTCGGCAGTGGAGACCGTTCTTTTGAAGGACACGAGCCTAAATGATGCCTCTTTCACCCTTTCTTTTTTCCCCTTCTTCCTAAAGCAATCAGTGTGAGGTGCTATGAAGGAGAATATAAGAAAGGAGGGGAGAGAGGGAAGAGAACTTGGTTCCTGGTTTTTGGCTGCTTACAGGACAGTATGTGCTTCAATCTGAAGGATTTGTAGTTGTCTTGCAGATAATACAGTCTGTGGGTAAAGAATGGTTTCATTTTTCCTTTAAAAAGGGAGCTGCAAATAGTTAAGTCACATCAGCTTAGTCTTGTTTGCCATTTGTAACAAATATGTACAAAAACTTGAAAATCCAATAAGAATGCTTGTCTTGTCGGGCTTATGGTTTGATTACTCCTTTGACTGATACCCAGTGTGGACTCAGCTGATCCCCTTTCTTGATGTCAGTTCACAACTGGCTTTACATAAGGAGTAGGAGAGATTTCAGACTCCTCCTCAAGTAGGTTTTGCCGGGTCTCCCAGCAATGTAGGACCAGCTGGAAGCTTTGGGACATGTTCATGAGCAGTCAGAGATGGTAAAATTCTTCCTCCACGTTCAAACCAAGATATCCAAGTTGGTGAGTGAGGCAGAGACGTTAGCTATTCCCTGTTGGAAATAAAGGAAAGAGCAGGAGCAAAGTCCATGACTGACTCATCCCTGCCAACAAAATGCTATTCTAGGATTTAAACATCAGGGAAGTTTTATTATGCTGGTTACTTGTAGTGATTTGTGCCTTTTTATTTGGTTTAAGAGCAGTCTGTTTGCCCTTTCCAGTACAAAAATGCCATTTCAATGCCTTCTCTGTATTATCTTATAGAGATGCCCAAGTGTCATGGTTATGCACTCAAGATATTCTTGACTGTGTGCTCTCCCATGGAGCACCCACTCAGTGTGTTTTGCAAACCTCACGTGGTTCCATTTTGAGATTTCACACATAGTGATGCTTTGTAGTACGGGAGCAGAGTCCTCCACTACTGTTTCTTCTTTGTATTTTGGTTGCTTTTCCTTTTTTCTTTTTCTCCCCCTAAACCCTGATATGGGTCCTACCTGTGATTACTGGGAAATGTAAAGGTGGGGATTAAATGTCTGTGCTACGTCCTTTGAGTCTGAGGTTTGCCTAGGTGATGCAGCACGTATAACTACGTAATACACCACCATTTATTGATCCCAGGTCTATGCTATATTTTGGTGAAGCATGAGGCAGTTTGATTACAGTATAGGATTTCACCCCTGATTTTTAATTTCCTGCTGGTTTGTGTCACAGCCTTAACATTGTTTAAACCTGATTCAATGCGACTCCCCAGAGCTCAAGCAACCAGTTCGGCTGGAGTGCCACAAAGCAGGGGCTGGCGGTGGCTGGCAGAGGACCCACTGCAGCCCCTTCCCTCATCCTGCCTCTCCCTTCTGCTTTGGTAGGGAGCGCTGATTCATATGCTCAGGGGATGATTTTGGAATCACCGCAAGGGCTTTGGGCAGAGACGGGCCAGGTGGGAAGGACAGCACGCAGGGCTGGGGAGTCACCGGGGAGTGACAAAGTGACAACTTTGTGGTATGAAGGGAAGCGTGTGCCTCTGAGGGGGATGTACTTCAACCAGAGAGGGTCCCCAGCACCTTGGCTGAAGCATGTGTTACACAAACCACGGGATTTTGCAGTTTGTGAGAATGACAGCTGTCTATTTTTTTAAATTTTATTTCTCACTGGCAAAATTGCTCACCTTCTCACCTCATCAGTGTCAACAGCTGGATGTGGAAAAGGTAGAGTATGCAGGCATGAGGTAAACAGAATCAGAACACGAGCATTTACTTCTCTTGGCCATGGAAAAGCTGCTGTGAAATGTGAACTTTGACAACCTCGACTGGTGCAGTCAAGGTCAAATAAGCACTAAATATCCTTCCAGCACTCTTCAGCATGTGAAGCTTGTCTTGGCTTAAGCAGTCGTGAAAGATGGGAACAGGATTGGAGAGCTCTTTCACACTTTGTGTACACATCCTGCCGTTGTTTACCATCTCATCTTGACAGTGTGAATCTAGTCATTGGTTGGCTTCTTGGTGGGTTTGGGTTTGGTTTTTGTTTTGGTTGGTTGGGGTTTTTTATGACACTGTATGACACTACAGCTGCTGCCATAGCCAGCAATATCTTACCTGGTTAGGATGTTATTCAGTCCACCTCTTTTTCCTCACAGGCAATAGGAGCAGCTTAGCATGTTAGTTATTTCCTTGTGTTCACTTTTTGTTTTGGTGAAAGGGATGATTCTTTAGGGAAAATCTTTCCACAGAAAAAGAAATTTACATCTTGGTTCAAAGACAGAGTAGGAAAAATATTTTTTTTTTTTTTAAATCACGGCTGCTTGTTTCAGGCACTGGGTCACTGATTGAGTGCAAACTTTATAAACGTTTTTTGTCCTCCTCCCACAGGGCATACAAAACCATTGAGGAAGATGACTTGAAGTTTCCTCTTATATATGGAGAAGGCAAGAAGGTGGGCACATTTGCTTTCCTCAGACCAAAGGAAGAAGGAATTCTGTGCTGTTTACTACTCAGTTTAGCCTGTGGCAATCCAGTGTTTTCCACTCAGTATCTCTTTATTTTATCGTTTTGACAGCTTGAAAGAATATCTTGGTGCTGTCATAAATCAGTCTCATGTCTGGGGGGCGGTGGGGGGAGCTCAGTATACTAAAAAGCATTTTTACAGCAACCATAGTAATTTGCCATTCCATTTGCTTTTGTTTTTCTTTTATTGTAAGTAGGCTACAATGGAACCATCGCCTTAAAATGTTCCTGGTTTCATTGTAAAATAAAACTGGGCGGAATGAAATTAGCAAAATACCTCATGTTTGCTGAAAACAAAGCACTAGGATATTTAATAACATTTTGGAGTGCTTTTGAGATGCAAAATCCTAATTTAAGAAAGCGAGGGATCAGGACAGGATTTGAGAAGTATGTAACACACCTTAACTGTATCATGTTTAGCTAGTGTATGTGAATTCACTATTGACTTTTTCTGATGTGAATGCTGATAGCTTTACTTGAAAGGAAGAAGTGAGCTGTTCTATTTGAGTGTACTTTGTTTCCAGCTCCGTGATTAAGAACAGTGAGATCATTAGTGCTGATCCCAGCAAGCTTAGCTGGATGCAGCAACAGGATCAATATAAGGACGCAGTGGTGTCAGTTTGCCGATATTGGTATGCTTGCTGTGTTTCTAAATAGTGTTCCCCTGCTGTATTAGGTTCTTATCTCAATGCAAAAATGCACACCTTTCAAAATTAGTCCAAGTTTTGAAGGTTCAGATCTGCAGCTTATCTCTGAATTTGGTTAGGTTTATAATTATTTGCAAAATGTTTCATGCACATCTTTTTAATTTACTTTTTTACTGCCTTATGGAGCCAGGGGTTAGTGAGGCAAAATAATCTTGCACCAGTTGCTTGCCGTTACTGATGCTGGGAGCTCTCTTGCTCAGAAGCTGCTGCAGCTAAACTAGAGTTTGGGGGAAGTGATGTGTGCAGAGAGCGAGGCTCCCCCTGAGGCAGTCAGCCTGGTCAAACCTTGGAGAAACGCTAATGAAGAAATGCCAAGCACCTCTGGGGAAACAGCTGTTGCAGAGGAGGTGACTGGGAAAGGAGATGGTAGACCTGAGGTAACAGCAGACCTGCCCTGGACCGGCTCTCCACAGAGGAGAGCACTGTGGTCAGTGCCACTGTCACCTGCGTGTTAAGCAATTGAAGGTGGCCTTTGGCACTCTTCCTTGGTGGAAGGAGCATATGGTAATACGTCAATAGGAAGAAGCGGGTGAGTAATTAGGCTCCTCATCGTTTTTATAAAACCTGTTTACTACCAGTATAATTTGCTGAAGGAATGCTCTCGTAGACTGGGGACAGTGAGGCGGCTGGGTTAGGTTTCCGTAGTCCCAGTCCCTTACAGATTGTCCTAATCTAAGATAGGTGTATGCAGACTGGGATGTGGACACATACAAAGCTTGAAATAATGAGGGAAATGGAGATGACGTGAATGTGAAAAGTGCTGAAGTTGATTAGCTGTGTTAAATCTAGAGTTTCTGGGAGAGAAAAGGGAATTAATCCCTAGCTGTAGCAGTTACAGAGTAGGAGTATTGTCTCTTCCCCTATTGATGCAGTGCATGTAGCAAGATTTTATTCAATTGCTTTTCTTTATTTCCAGGCTCGGGTTATGGCAACAATTGGAGTGACCCGAGGACTGGGAGACCATGACCTCAAAGTGCATGACTCTAATATATACATCAAACCTTTCCTGTCCTCATCTCCTGAGGTAAAATGCCAAGGTTCAACTATCTGATCTGTGGGAGAGAAATGAATTTACTTAGTGTGCTTATTTGTTCTTCTCAAGTTGCCCATTCTGACTGTGGTCCAGTCCATGTAATGCACTGCTCCTCCCCATGGCCTCAAGCTAGTAACATCCACATAGTAGCAGGAGTGTTATAAGTTCCTCAGCTATGTGCACTGGCTCTGGTTGCTCCACATCCCTGGTAGAGCATTGATGCCTTCTCACTCCCTGGTCTACAGTTATCCTGTAACTTCGTCCTTCAGCGTGACAGAGATCCATTTCTCCCCGCCTTCACATGTTCCAGATCCCCTTGAGGCCTAGATCACGCTGCCTTCATAGGAGCTGATGTAAATCTCAGTTCTCCAGAAGGCAGCACTTGGATGCCTTTCACGGTAGGGTGGTATCGTGCATTACACAGAGGATACCAAATCAGCTCTTAAGCAGGAAAATGCCAAGAGCGGTTGGAAGAGTGCTTTATGCTTCCATCTGTCCACCTCTTTACCTCCAGTTCTTAATTCTTTATGATGGTTTTGTGCAAACACCAAATAATGGCAGGAATGGCAGTGTGCATTCCCAAATGATGGCATAATGAGGGGATTATGCAGTATTTGTGTTAGAGGTAGCTTTAAATGCCTTCATCATTTTGACTTGCCTCGCCACAAACAATTCCAGTTTTTGACCACCAGAGACATTGTACTGAAGGATATCAAGCCCTCCAAAGGGATTTGAATGTATTTGTTAACAAGAAACATGCAAACCTCGCTTTTTTTTCCCTCTGTAACTGCATTCCTGGTCCTACGTCAAGGAACAGATGACACATATTTTTCATAAAATATTAAGCAAGGGCAAACCATCTGATTGCAGCACAAAAAGAGGAGGCTTTGCTTCTGTGATTCAAATGCTGTCCACTGTCAGCTGGCTTGCTGGAGTTTTAACTGTACCCAGTATTTGACCTTGAATTTGTTGCTTGCTGTAGCAGTGCAAGAGAATGAAAATTGTTATACAAATGACATCATAATGCTAGGAAGGAACCAAATTATTAATTTAACCTTGCTTAGAACATCTTTGAGACTTTAAAAATAAAAATTTAAAAAGTGCTGATTGATTCTGGACCTGAAGAAAAAGGGGGACGTCTACAGACAGCTCCTTCTTCACATTTCCTTGCTGTCAGTCCAGTACCTTCCATGTCCCTGCTTTGACTGTGTGGTATGCCTCACTTGGGACCTCCTGCTGTTCTCAGCCAGGCAGGCAGCAGCTCTGCCCTCATCACTCTGATGGATTTGTTTAGTGCCAGTGAAATGATGCAATTCTACCTATTTATTTTTCTTTCTGGCATGCTGAGATCCAGTGTTTCTGGGGTATGTAATGGCTGCAGCACAGTATCATCTCTGCCAATTGCTGCTGCAGTATTTGTCTGTGTGTATAAACCAGAGCTTCTCATGGGCTTTTCTGATTTGTGTGGAGTGTCTGTACGTGTTCAAATTCTGGAATATGACATCCAGTTCATATGCTATCCACATTTCAGGATCTCTTAACTGCTTCGCAAAAAGGAAGCAAAATTGGCTTTGTTTCCACATTGCCTTCACAGCTAAATTCAGCAGAAGTGTACTGGGACAGGAGGAGGAAAGACAGAGCACCAGCCACCTCAGTGTAGAGATACTGGCAAAAAAAAAGCCTTGGATTTTATTATAAAGTAACATATGCTCCGACTTGCTTTCCATTGCACCTCCATCTCTGAGCCATCTCTTCCTTTTCTTCTGAGAGAGAAACCCAGGGCTTTATCACCTCATGTTTTTCTCTGACTTACTCTGTCCATATGTGGACAGTGCACCTTGCACAGAAACTGGCATTAAGAAACACCATCTTTGTGCTGCCATCTGGGAAGCTTGGCACTTGGAAGGAAAGGCGTCAAGCAGCAGTCATATTTGGCCCTTGTGCAGCATTGGATTTCAAATTGTTTATGTAGAGGTAGGGAAGCACAACGTCTGGTTTCCAGACCTGGAAAAGGGAAGGCACAGGAAATTAAGGTGCACAGTGAGTCGTGACAGAGGGAGGATCCAAGTCCTCTGGCTTCTGTTTCTGTGCTGTAATTACAGTGTCCTTTCCAAAGTTGAGGGCAATGTGGTGTGATTTCAGAATATTTTATTTCCAGTGCGATAAAGCTCTGGTATGCCATGGCCAACAAAATTTAGCTGAAGGAAAGGTAAGCGTCCCCGAGTCTACAGCACAAAGTAGGCATAGAAAAGTAATTTGAGGGTGGTGCGAAATGGTACTTTGATAGAGTGCCAGGCTATGGGAGGAGAAGTCATGTAGCCAAGACTGACAAATATAATCAGGATTCAGTGGCTCAGCTGTTATGAGACCAGATTTGGAGGACTTCTGCAGGTTGGTGAGCTCTAGAGAATTGAGCCTTTTATAATGAACTGGAGTAGCACAAAGCAGACCAAGCTATGGCTGAGGCTCTCTGGCATGGAATTAAATATTTATTTTTCATAATGGAAGAGTTCATTTGAAAGCCTTCAGCAGGAAATTCTGCTTTTTCAAGCTCAGCAAGAGCCGCCTCATTGCAGCTGAAAAGCAGAATTTAATCCTGAAATTTTTTGGACAGCAGTTCAGCCACTTGGTGGGAGAGGTAGGGCTCTGATGGCAGAGTTTGGCCCTTCCCAGCGATGAACCCAAAGCCAACCACCAAGGCAAATGGTAAGGAGGTAATGAGGGAGCATTTTTCTCCTTCCATTATGTCAGTAAAATCTTTCTGACAACTCCACAAATGTGTCAAAGGAGACCATTTTAGATTCATGTCTGCCTTCTGGAGAAATCTTCAGAAATTACACCGTTGAAAGGAACAAGCAGGGCAAATACATGGAGAAAGGAGAGTATGATCAAAGGGAGTGAAGGTGGTTTCAAGAAGCAAACATCACACTTCAGTGGCTTGAAGTCCTTCAGGGTTGTGTCTACCAGAGAATTAAAAAAATAATAACAAATGCAGTAGCTGGTCTTGCAGGAGCACTTTGATTTCTCAGGAAATGTTTGAGAAACTGTTCTGCATCACAGGTTATTAATATAAAAAGATATGAAGCTACAGACTAAGTGGAAAGTTGGCACAGTCTACTGGAAATTGGCTAAAGGGCAGGAAACAAAGGGTGGCGGTAAAAAGCTAAAAGGAGATTAATTGGTGAGTGCTGCAGGGAGCGATGTTGGGACCCGCTTTTTATTATTTACATATAAATTACTTGGAGGGTGGTATTGAAAGATCTCGTCGTTCGCCAGTGAAGCTGCGCTGGATAACATTGCACATAAAAAGGGATGATACAATTAAGAAAGGGCTTAATTTATTGCAGTAGCCAAGTTGATCAATAGTGCAGGCGAGTGAATGCAGGCTGTTGTTTGGCTCAAATTCCCCCGGGGCCGGCAGCCGAGGAGCACCTCAGGTGGCTGCGGGCTCACTTGTCACTCTGTTGTGAGCGGTTTTGCGGCCGCAGGGACTCGCATCGGCTGCCTCTGAAAAACAAGCCTGGCAAACGAGCCACGGTGCCTTTGCAGAGCTGCTGTGGTCCTTTCTGGCAGCCAAATGCAGGTTTTGTCTGGTGGGTGGATCCATTCGAAATGTAAATATAAACCTGGCCCACCTGTTTGTTCGTTGCTTGCCCGGAGCATTTTTCTCAGTGCTCTTGACTACACGTCAGTGAGCAAGATGAGAAACAAATACCTGGATTGAAGAAAGGCGCTAAGTGACAAACTGCATAACACACGTTCAGAAAGATGTCGTGTGTGACTGCTCTAGCAGTGTGTATCCACTGTTACCTGTCAGCAGACTTCTGTAAGTACCAGTCAGCATAACACACAGTGTAACCCGGTGCTTATTGTCATGGATGTCTGTGCTACCAAGATTCCAGTGCTCCTTATAGTTGACTTCTTACATTTTTATGGTTACTAAAGTCAAGTTTAGGTAGTTAACAGGTCAGCTGCTCTACATCAAGGCAGACATCAATGGATCTTAGAAGTATGGTGACCAAACTCGTCTCCTTTGAGAGCTGCCCTGATGCTCCAGAGAGATGTTAAAGAGCGGGAAAGTTGGCCAGGGCAGCACAGGAGGGACTGGTGGACTGGGAGGAGTTGGTGGTCAGGCTCTCAGGACAACACAGGAGGCAGAGGACAGAGCACTGGTAGCCCAAGGCATTTGGGGCAGAGGACATGAGTTCTGTGGGGCACTATCAGGATTGACATCTGGCTGCAGAAGCAAGGAATCATGAGGGAAGGACTGAAGATTCAGGGTGGAACTGCCAGGAAATTTGTCAAGGGTGCAGCACCAGGTAAGGAAACCCCTGCACTGCCAGCTGGTGTCTGGCCGTCACCTGCCCTAGCAGGGCTCTGCAATACTGTTTTGCAGTGTGTGCAACTTTGCACAAACTTTTGTCACAGACAGAGCATCACTTAAACCTCACTGTTGTTTAGTTTCCCGAAATACAGCTACAGGAAGGAGGCAGTCATTGGGAAGGTTGGCTCTGGAGTTACAAAGGAAATAGTAGTAATTTCGATTGGAGGCAATGAGCTGCTTTTGATCATGTAAGATGTACAGTGCCAAGGGGTTGCTCACTGTTGCAGGCACTTGGGTAACTCCCTGGATCTCTCCTCATCCTCCCGACACTCTGCCATATTGCACTCCCGTGCCTTTTCTGCACAGCATGCGTGGAACACGCTCTGGAGTACTGCACAGTGTGGGGGTGTGTGGAGTGGGTGTTCAGTGAGCTCTGCTGCTCTGAGCATCAATTGCACGTGCCTTGGTGGTGCTGGCCATCCTGTGGGCCTAATGTGTCGCTGCTGTGGTAACCGGATGCCAGGCAAAGCTGCATTTCAGTGAACATTTTGTGGCACGTCCAACTGGTCCTTGTGTACAAGAATAGTACCTGAAATTGTCCCAAGCTTGCCTCCTGTCATCTTGATGCTCTCTTTTCCTTAGCCTGGGTACCAGCCTAGCACCCCTTATTGCTCACCCCACTGCCCTTCTCTGCATCTCTTTTGACAGCTGTGCCCTTCTCAGTGGGACCCCTTTCTGGAGGTGCTCAGTTCACAAAGCTTTTTGCTTTTGGGAAGTAGCCACCTTGTTCCCAGATTACCCATAAAATCAGTTATTGCTTCTTTCTTTCTTTTCCCCAAAAACTAACATGTTCGTGGTAAAATAGTCTGGTTTTGGTGGTGCTGTAGCATTGTGCTGCACCAAAGATTTGGACCTTTTGCCCTATGGGTTGGCTGCAGGTAGCTTTGACAGGTTTCTTACCTGCTCCAGCACCCCTCCTCAGTCAGACAAGATTGTTCATTTCAGGAGGATCCAAATCAGTGATGCATGGTCTCGGTTTCCTACTTTCTCTCCCATCAACGCTGCAAAAAATGCTCTCGTGGTGTGGTGTGTGCTTTGCCTGGGTGGGAGAGCCCTGGTAGATGTGTTTGTCTGAGCGCTGATGTTTGAAGCTTGGTTATTCCTGCGAGGGGCTTTGCTGCTGAGTGCATCCCTGAGCATTAACCCTGATGCTTTCTCAAATATTTGCCTGTACCCAAGAGATCTGACCAGAACACGTGCTTATTGATGGCTGTGTTGGCAAATTTACCCCGCACACCCCAGTGATTTCTGAGTTGAAACCCTGGGCTGTTACAGGCTGAGCTCAATTTTGGGGAATGGGGCTATGACAGCTACTGGTTTCTGTGCAATGGGCTTGAGAGGAGAGCTGTGCTGCATAGAGGGATCTTTTCTATAGCACTATTCCCACTCAGTCTCAATAAGGAGATATGCGCTAATGAAGACAGTATCTTGCCTTGACTTTAATCCTCTCCAAAGTCCTTATTCAGCTGCTACCTTAGATAATGAAGTGAAGGTTATGATTTACAAATGACCTTCTTGTGCTTTTTGAGCGAAAGGCGAACAAGTAAGGATTAGCAGTCAGGTCTAGGTGATTTTTTTTTTTCCTCCGGTACTGGTTGCAGTCCCATAAAATCATAATTACATTAAAAGGTCCAGGCATTTTATGTGCATTGCCTGCTCCATGGCTCCTAAGGGAGAATGCACCAGGAGGGAGAATAAAACAGCTCATATTTTCTAGTTATGCCAAATGCTTGTTCTGACAAATTTCCTGACTGCCACTGCTGTTAGTGGAGCCTGAGGCCAGAGCAGGGTGCGTGACGAGGTGCACCGTTTCCAAACTTCAGTACAGATGATCATTTCCTCCTGCCTGCCTTGCCAAGGCTGTCACACTTCTTTCAAACTGTGGTACTTGCTGTGGTAATTAAAGTGCTCCGTGAGCCCTTCGTAACGGCTCCCCATCGCAACCTGGAAATTGCAGGCACTTTATCAGCTGGAATACAGTGTGTGCTGGAAGGAGAGTTACACTTGACCAAAGGCTCAGTTTAAAACACTTGCTGTGACCTTTCCTCATATTCTGGCCTAGCTGACGGGCTCCTGTGTGCCCCCTCCACTCCCAGCCTTCCCCAGCCTCGTTAGGAAGAGGATGGTGGAGGCTGTTGTAAAGGCAGGGTGTTAATGGAGGTGCTGGCAGCAGTGGTCAGCCTGACTGTGGCTGCAGACTGACAAGGTGAAGCCAGTGGACGTTTTAATGGTGTGGATAAGCCTGGGAGTTCACTCTTGTGCTTGTCTTTTATCAGTCTCTGTGTACTGAACCCCTTACAGATGCCCATAACTGAGCAGGCAAACATTTTTTCTCTGTTTCATGGAACTACTTGCTTGCTCAGGCGTAATTCTTGAGTGCAGCATCTGCCTCAGGTCTAGGAAAGTGAATGTGATGCCGTCTGCCACATAGGCGCTTCTAAACATGTGCAATTTATCTGGCAGAGCTAAATGGATCTGGACAAATAGTGAAAACAATTATTTGTGAATATTTTATTAGAAAATATCAAAAATTCATCAAATAAATTATTCAGCTTCCATATGACTAGTCCTGCCAGTGATAGGGAAGAGCCTCAGATGCTGAAAGCCAGCTGCTGGGTGGGGGAGGCTGCAGCAGGCGGCACGGTGCTGTACAGCCTGGCATAGGGCTGCCTGTGTTCATCCACAGCCATGCTGAGCTGGAGAAGGAAGGGTTGCTGACTCAAAGGCTAAACTCGGCAAACCCTAGCAGTGCTGTAGAGTCCCTCGAATAGAAGGAAAGTCTTATAATGAGAGGCTAAGGGAGCTGGGGTTGTTTAGCCTGGAGAAGAGGAGACTCAAGGGGGACCTTATCACTCTCTACCACTACCTGAAGGGAGGTTGTAGTCAGGTGGGGGTCGGGCTCTTCTCCCAGGCAACTGGTGACAAGACGAGATGGCATAGCCTGAAGCTGCGCCAGGGCAAGTTTAGGCCAGATATTAGAAAGCACTTTTTAACAGAGAGGGTGATCAGTTGTTGGAATGGACTGCCCAGGGAGGTGTTAGAGTCACCATCCCTGAAGGTGTTTCAGGAAAGGCTGGATGTGGCACTTAGTGCCATGGTCTAGCTGATGTGGTAGTGTTAGGTCATAGGCTGGGCTTGATGATCTCAGGGGTCTTTTCCAGCCTCAATAATTCTGTGATTCTGTATTTCAGTGCCCTGACTGAACCTGCTCACGCACAGCCGGACTCAGCAGTGTTTGACAAACAGTCTGACAGTCTCCTCTTTCAGGGATGTCTCTCTGGTTTTTTTGTTTTAGGTGAGAGTCTATGACCTCCTGCAGTACGAGCATGGGCCTGACGATGTTCTGATCCTAGCTACTGATGGACTCTGGGATGTGCTGTTAAATGAAGAAGTGGCAGAAGCTGTCACTAACTTTCTACCAAACTGTGACCCCGATGATCCCCACAGGTTCGTGGTCATCCCTGATTTTCTAGCTTCTCTGCAGAAGAGCACTTTCTGGTAATGTATTTGTGTAGAAAGTATGGTATGAATAACATTCAGTCAGCACACAACACTTACAAGAAGACATTTTTATAAGTTGAATGGAAACTCTACAGCGAATGTGGTGGTTTGGGGCTGTTATAACTCAGAGCTGCCAGTCTTCAAGGGAGCAGTTGTGAGATCACGGTAACTTGGTGTGGGATCCATTTTGTTTCCCATATGAGGTCCAGAAGTAACTTGAAGGAGGCTGAGGTCTTAGAATAGCATGGCAACAGATCTCCGTCTCCAGCAGTCACAGGTTTCCTCTTAACTCTCCTCTGGGTAGTTCCTCAGCACTAAAGATTGCTTCTCACTGGGACATCATCAGCGTGTATCTCCCTCTCTCTCACTGAATGTGTGTACGTGTAAATACTGCACAGTGTGGTTCCCACGCATTCCTGGTCATACCATGACCTTTAAACCTGCCTGCAGTAGGGGATGCCCAGTGCTACCAGCTGCAGGACAGGTGTGGTGACAAAATAGGTGGAAAGTGTGAATATTTCATTTAGTTGGATTCTGTTTCATTGCATGATTTTAACCTACCTCATCCTCTTCATTTTCCTGCCTTTATCACCTCTTGCTTGATCGGTTTCTCTCTTTAAACATACCATCAAGCAAACAAGTTCCCAAACAACTGCCTTGAGTGGGTCCATCAGTGTGTCTGCTGCTGAATTCAGTGTCGCCATGAATTAATACATTACGCTAGAGATCAGAGGTCTCTTGCTTGTAAAAGGAACGACTGTGAAAGTGGAAAGAGCTTTATCCTTCCCTAGGGACTGTTCAGGAAGGGAAGTGTGTGTCGCTCCTGAATTCAGGCCTGGCCATCACTGTCTTCTGCCCATGCCCTGGGCTGAAATTGAGGAAAAGAGCTTTTATATGTCCCCAGTTGGCCGGTGGAAAGCAGGAATTCAGAAATAAGCTCTGGGATATCTTGGCATCCAAGTGAAAACACACAGAGAGCTCAAGTTACAGCTGTTTAGATGTGCCAGCTCTTGAGTACATGGGGAAACTCATCTCAAAATGCTTGGTGTTTCTCATGTTTCTAAGTGGTCTCTTAACATGGTCAGCCCTGTTCTCCATCAGCAAACAAGGAAGGTAACTGGGACACCCTGACAGCACTTGGGCTTTAAAGTGAGAGCAGCTCTAAAGTAACTGTGGGACATTAGTTAGTCCCTGTATGTGGCAGCATGAGTACAACACACTCCAGAATTGGGCCTGCTGTGTTAGGAGTTAGAACAAACATGTTTATTAGTGTTTGACCTCCTGGTCTATGAATGGACATCTGAACTGAAAATAAATTTATTCTTTTAAGTAACTTTGTGCCAGGTCATTTAGAGGCTTACAAATAGCAGTGGAAAGACATTTCTCACACCAGCTTGCAAAAGGTAATTAGAGCAGTCCCTCATATAGTTTACAATGATATTTATGAAAATAACCTGTGTGGAATTGCTCTTGCTGCTTGGTTGTAAAGAATATTTAAAGGGCTTAAAGTACTGTGTGAGAGGTTTTACGTAATTACTTCACAGTGGTCCAAATGAGCTATAACTAATGAATTTACAATAGCACAGCAGCTCAGACTGTGGAGCTGCGTTCATTCCTCTTACTACTCAGTGACAGGAAGATCTTGTTTGCTGTATTATCAGCATTTAAAGAAAATGTTATCCCACAAACTGTCAGGTTCTGTGACGGGTGTAGTGACACAGTCTGTGGTGAGGTGATCAGCTGGAAGTATAAAATCTCTAGGGAAGCAGAAAACTTGTCAGACTTGGCCCTGGGTTTGGTAAAGCTTTGCTCTTCTGGAGAATCTACCTGTGGAGCAGACCCAGGATCCACCTGACCCAGTAGCCTACTGACTCCCTGACAGCAGCATATTAAAATAAAATAAAGCCAGAGAGGAAGATCTTATTGCTGCAGAGTACTTATCTGTTACATAATTAGCTCTTTGAGGGAACAATATCCCTCCCATTTGAATTAGAGCTTATTTTATAGCCTGATGGGTAAGAGCTTACAGCCCTTGGCAGTGCTCTTGGGACTCTCTCCTGCTGATATTTACTGTCAGAACTGTGAGTGTTTGTTGCCCACAGAAAAACATCTTTGAATCCTGTCAAACACAGCATGTGTCTGGGCACCTCCAAGTGCAGGGAGAGCAAAGTCCTCGCATCTGTCCTCACCCAGATGTACAGACACAGCCTCAGGGGATTTGGGCAGTGGGTGATGGGCGCAGACTTGATGAGAGAGCGGTTCCTCTGTGAGGCTGTGATGGAGTGAAGAAGCTGGGGTGGAGCTGGATTTGTTAGCCCGCTCATTTCTTATGGGGATTGTGGCAGACAAGAGCATGAAGGAGACCCTGTGTGAAGAACAGGTGGTAGCGACACACGGCTGCTTTTCATACATCATCTCTCTGAAGAGGTATGAAGATAGAGAAGTGTGACTCTTGCCCGTTTCCTTCAGCTGCACTTATGTAGGTCTGTCCACTGACCTTCGGAATCTTTTATTTCTCATCCTTCCTCCTGTCCTCTCTTGTTTCCCCCCACTCACTCTCTCCCACTAGCTAGAGATTTATGAGGATGCTGGGGAGTTGCTCCACATCTGTTGGATGTGAGAAGATAAGAAGCTGCTCAGATAGCAGCACATTTCCCCCACTGTCACCGTTTCTCCTGCAGTCCTTTCACTGATCAATACTGAAAGCTTCAGCAGAAGAAAAAAAAAGTATATTTATTCTTAAAACACAAAAGTTGTATTCCAGCGAGGCTGTTCATTAGGGGTAAGTGGATACTTTAAAACTACTTCAGCAGTTTTCTAATGCTGTCTCGACAGCTGAATCCCAAGTTCACAGCGCTGGAGAATAAAGCATTCAGTAATGGACTGCTGCTGCTATTCATCTCCAGGTACAAGAGCCTCACCCTATCTCCTCTAGTGCCAGGCTGAACAGCACTGCTTCAATTCAGCTCTACACAGGGAGAGGAATATGTTACCTCGCTGCTGCCTTCACCTGCTCCTTTTCCTTTGCTTCTCTTGTGTATTTCACAGTCTGTCTACGAGATAATTTCTGGTTTGTTAAAACACTTTTTTTTTTTTTTCCAATCTTGCCCTGTCCAAACACTGAACAACAAAAGCTTTACACAATCAAGAGCAACGCTCATTCCTTTGTGCTCTTTAGATGTGGGGAGCTCTTGTTAATTAGAAAAAGGAGGAAGGCAAAGTTTTCTCCCAGAATGATGTGTGTTTTCTTCTCTTAAATTCTGACAATAGCTGAGAAATCTTTGGAAAAGATGTTATGGCCAAAATTCACTCAGCATCAGACATGCTGTGAATAAATATTCCAGTTTGTTCCTTGCCACGTGGAGTCCTTTTGTTCCTTAGCCCTGCATCTGATCTGGGGATTTGGGAGCTGGGAAGTGCAACTTTGTGTGGGATTTTTTTTCCCCTTGGAAAATACAATTTAATGTTGTATCAGGACAATAGGGGCAGCGCTTCTTGTTACATCCTGCCATTGGTGCAGACTCATCTGGAACCCGTGGACAGCATGCACGTGTGCGTGCAAGCCTGTGTGGTAGAGTTCGTGCCTTGGACCCATCTCTTGTCGCTAAAAGTACATCTTCTGTCGAAACTAGTGAGGGCTAGAAATTTTATCACTCAGTACCATCAGGAGCAGGGAGTGTGTTGCTTCTGTATGACATTACTTGGATTTAACATCAGACCTTTTGGGTAGTCAAATGTTGGTTTATTTCCATTGGAGGAATCTTTCTAAGCAGAGCAAATAAATCTGTTCCTGGTTCGAAGAAGCCATTTGAGTTGAAGGCACCAAAATTGTAGAAACAGAACACAGTTGGGTTTTTTTTCCCTCGTTTTATCCCCAGAGAGTGAATAAACTCTCCTCTGATAGAAATTACCATATAATAATACATTCTCTGGTGCAGATTTCTGGGGTTAGAGCAGTCCTGGATTCTCCCTTAATAAACTTCCCCCCACGCTGCTTCTGATCAGTGGAGATTTCGTTCCTTCCCATTCCTCAGGTGAGGTCTGGGCAGACCATTTCTGGCCAAGGATCCTCCCTAGAAAAGGGGGTCTTGAAATGCAAACCTTTCTTGTCCTTCCTGGTTTCTGGGAACTGCAGAGGTGTCCTTTGCTTCTGGTGGCCTCTGTGTTTGGCTTCATAGACCCCCGCATCATCTTTAGAGATTGATACTAATGCTTTAAATAAAACACGGGTAGACACAATATTGAAGTGGTTTTTATTGTCAGTCTTTTAACTGTTTGATTAATTTTTAATTATCAAATGATAGAAAAGCTTGCCTCTACTCAACCAAATTCAAAACAGCTCAGGTCCTGGTGTTGGACTGTTGAAGAAAAACATGTGACATTAAGCTGCTTCTCAGGGAGTACACAGAGGTGTTGATCCAGTACCAGCAGGTAAAATTATATGGGAGAAGATGTCAGAGCACAGGATTCTCTGTGCACCACCTTTTGGGCTCTGACATCCTTCTGCCCCCAGGGAGCACCTGTTATTTTTTCAGGACAGAAAATAACTCCCATAAGTCCAACACTGCTCAGCCCAGCACAGGCTGGAAGTTTTGAAGCAACATGAAACTTAGTATTTCATTAAATTAAGGACGTGACAGCTCACATTCACACAGTGTTCATTGAACTCATAAATGTGAAAGAACTGTGGGACTCTGTTAATCTGGCTGCATTAACTGTAAGTTTCCTTTCTCAGTTTCAGAATAAAAGAGATTTAAAAATCATTCTTATGGTCAAGGAAACCAGACAAGTTAGTCTACTTGGTTTAAGGTATAATTTGGATTTTGCTTTTAGTGCTCTATTACTTGCTTTCAAATGACTTTGTTATAGTTTGTCTCTGAGATAGTTGAGCCATGCTTACCTTCAGGTGTGTCAGTGAACACGGGTGTAGTTTTCAACAGTAAGTAGTGTTATTTTGGGTCTTCATTTTTTCAGGCTAGTCCTAGAAAGCCAGTTTGTTAAAGCAAGCGTGTTAATATTTTTCTGAAAACTGGTGAAGCCAGGCACCCAAAACAACCACTGACTTTTTGATCTATTGGTGCCTGTCAGATACCTTTAGATTCTGATGCAGAAGCTGTCACTGAACTGGAAGGGGTTGCTCTGTGGTTATGCTGTGGTTTGCATTTCTCCTACCTGTTTCTGAAGCACTGGGAAGTTGTCCTGGTGGCTCACAAAGGTAAATCTGGCAGGCTCTGAAACCCGCTTTCCTCACCAAGATGCGCACTCTTCTGCCTTCTCCGCAGGTACACGCTGGCGGCGCAGGACCTGGTGATGCGAGCCAGGGGGGTGCTGAAGGACCGGGGCTGGCGAATATCCAACGACAGGCTGGGCTCTGGAGACGACATCTCTGTCTACGTCATCCCTTTGATACATGGGAACAAACAGTCGTGAAAGGAGCATCCAGAGTGGTCACAGGATGGGAATCTTTTTGGGAAGGGCCTGTGAGAGACAATGTGGTTTTGGTGATCTGACCAGGACACTTCCAGTTGATGTAATCTATTCAAAACTAATGCTGGAGGGGTATTTTTCTGCCCAAAGGTAGGGCACTGCACATATACTGTATATGATTAAAGATAACCCTTAAGATTACAATTTCCCTATAGAAATGGTTTTGGTGCTTAACAGGAATGGGATTTAAATGCTGCTAGCATATTATGGATTCTGTCATCCCTCCAGGTGGGGAATTACTTTTTTTTCTCAGTTTACCATGTAGCTTGGAAGAGCCATTTCAGTTGTGAAAGTAGAAGTGGGTATCAGAAGCCACACAGGCTCCTGAAATCTACCCCCAAATATTCAGAAGGTGACTCGGGTCACATCTCATTTAAAAATACCTATATATACATATATGAGACTCAGTAGTTTTCTTCTTTCTACAAGTTGCATTCATGACTTACCTATGGACAACTTCCAACTTGTGTAATCCTTCAAACCCCCATCTTCCTCTTCAGTAGACTCTACTCCTGTATTTTAGTAGGAAAACTGAAGTTGTTTTCAGTGTGACTATGCCTGTTTACTGCAGCTAAAACAGCCACCTGCAAAATTGTCCAGGAGAAACAGGTAACAGTCTTGTATGGCAAAACTTGTTCTGGTGTGGGGAGTTATTTGTCAGGATTCCCTGTTGGGTGTATACCACGATTAGATAGAGCACGCAGCTCAGCTCCATGTGATGTTTACCTGGAAGCCATGGTTCGTTGGGATCAGAGATTTTCATTCATTGAGTGGTTCCGCCTGCTTCATCCTGTTGAAAGGATCCCTGACTCTACAGCTTTTGCAGCACTTGGGATTCAGTAAATTTATTTGGGCTCCTGAGTGTATTTTTAGTTGGATTCCTACTTGAAGTGGTGGTCTTGCTATCAACTTGGATACCCAGATAGTGATCTATTTAACAGTCATTTCACTTCTTCCTGCCGCATTTATTATTCAGTGTACCTTTGCCAGCTCGACTTGGCAATCAGAAAGCAACAGCTTTTAACTTTGTCCTCACAGTACTGAGGACTGCACTCAAGGATCAGAAGATCACTGCGATAGATAAAAGTCCTTGGCTTGCTTCAGCAGCTTTTTTCTTACCGATTTAAATAAAGCAGACCTGAGTAAAACATTATCAGAGTGGAAGCAATAGTCCAAGAGGGAAATAAGTAAGCAAATCTGCAGCTTAACCTGGCCGCCTGTTCTTCATCGGCAGGAGCTGAATCAAAAACAAGGTTCTAGCGTATAGGCAGTTACATTGGCTGGGGAGCCAAGTTCAACCAAGAGTTGCCCCCAGACCACCTACTTTTGGAGCTGCTTGTCTGGTTTGTACTTTTTGGATAGACAGAAGGCAGGGAGCTGACGTGATCGTAGGGCACTGACTAGGCAGCTCCCAAATGGTGTCTCCTGTCCAGAGGAGGAGGAGGATGCTGGGCCCTCTGCAGCCTTTCTCCTGAGCAGGCGTGGCCTGGAGCGTGCCAGTTCTGCAGTTTACAGTGTGCTGTGTAAGCACCGTGCAGCGTGCGTGCGGTGTAGCTGCCCAGATGCTTTATTTGATTGCATCCAGAAGTACACGTGCCAGTCTTGGTGGATTTAAACTACCCTTGCTCCAAATCTCTAGACCCGGTAGGAATCCCAGTTTGAGAGCAGGCAGTGCAGGGTGTGTAACAGCTCAAACATGCAGGAAACTGCATGATTTCAGCCCAGAAACTGCTCTGTGCATTCCCCAGTGCCTGCATGTGATAAAGCTGTGCAGAACACGGATATTTTATATTCTAGAGCTTCAGCATAAATCAATGGCATATCTGATTATGTGTTGTCATGCTTTATTCTTTCCTTTTTTTTTTTACCTTTATGTCTTTTTCTGTGTGCAGCTGGGTGAAAAGAGAGGTTTGGAGTCTAGAATATTTTTCACATGGCCCCTCATTTGTTCTAAAGTTTAAGCAAGAAGTCTTCTCTTGCACATTTTTTTGGCCTAATAAACTTGTAAACATGCTTTTCACGCTCTGTGTAACTCTTCTTGTCTCTTTGCAAACGCATTTGTGTAGCTCTGTAGTGATTCAGATCCTCTTTCCCAAAGAAACCAATGCTGGCAATTCTGACCGAGTCGTCTGGACAGCAAAGAAGCTGGTGCTCACTGGTACGAACCGCAATCCTGAGTCAAATGTTTCGGTGCCCGTCTTCATTATTTGGTAGCGTGGTGACAACACTCATACCAGTCATTATAAAACCACTGAGTACAATGTGGTGGAAATAAGCTTCTAGTGTAACACTAGCCAAATTTTAAAAGTGAAACTTCAAGGCAATGGAAAATGCACGTTCTCGTTCAGGGCTGTTTTAAATGTACCCCTGGAGAGATGGGTTAGCAGAAGGGGCGACTTGGTGGGAACAAACTGGCTGTTAATTCCCAGAGCAGAATCTCATGGGTGCTGGTGTGGCTTTGTGAACTGGCCTCCATGGTGTGTGGTGTTCACCCGAGGCACTGCTGTCAGTCAGCCCCCATCTCTGCAGCTGCTGTACCCAGGTGGAGCTGTGTTACTGGCCAGCTCCTCTCCTGGAAAGGGCACAAGTACAGTACCCACCACTTATAACAATGAGCATCGATTATGAAGTTCTGAGAACTTCAACAAATAGTAAGTTTCCTACTCAAATGTATGTGACAGAATGTATGTGTTGCTTTTTGTTTTGCTGCTTTACACATTGTCTGTTACACATCTACATGCTTGCCTCCCTAGAGTGTCTCTGGTGCCCCTCTGAGTCACTGAGTTAGTGCCTGGGCTTTCACCTCTCCCTGCTGTCAATAGGAGCATCTTACGTGCCTGCACTGTGGTCTGTGCTCTGCTTCAAGGCTTGGTGTAAACACACACACACTGAAGCATCATAGAAATAGGAGGCAGGAGTAATTTACTGGGGAGGTATTGTGTCAGAAGCAAGAATAATTAAAAGCATTTCCTATTCCCTTTACAGGTTGAATTATTTTGGGAGTCACAGGATGAGAAATCACTGATGGCAGGGAGGATTTGTGGTGCACAGCACCATTTTTCAGCCAGGCACAGGATGGATGTTGCCACGTGCAGATTTGCAGCTGCTCTAGGGCTCAGTGAAGCTCCTGAGTTGGAAGCACCCGGCTCGCCTCCTCAAACTGGAGCAAGTGAGGCACCAAGTCCAAATTTTAGGTCCTTGGCACATCATCTTAGTTACTGTCTGATGACGGCAGCACTGTGGCTTTTTTCCAGTGAAGTTCCCTTAGTATCCGAAACTGCTTAAGCCTTAGCAGCAAGGAGCCTCAGCCCTGAGTTAGGTGTGTATTGATATCGCTGTCGCATAGTGCTGTACGCAGGCAAGTGTTAAAAGTTGGGCAAGTTCTTGTCCTTCCTTGGACAGCGGCAAGGAAAGGACACAGCATGGTTATCACCACGGTTATAGTTCAGGTTGGCTGGCACTGCAGTGTAACGCTGTCTTCTGGTCCCTAGTCCAGTCCGGTTTCGAGAAACTCAAACCCAAGAAGCTTCCAGCATTTTCCTGTTAATACTGTTTTAGGTAGTACAGCCATTTTGGACATTTGTCTCTTGCACTACAGTGTAAAATATTCTCTGGTTACTTTGATGAAGAAGGGAGGTAGAAATTTCATTTACAGCTGCAGTGACGCACACAAACGTCTTTTGGTACGTTAAGGCAGTGATGCTTCCTTGGTGAACACAGGAGTGTTGACTGAGAGGGCTGATGTTCAGGGGCCTCATGCTGGAGAGAGAGATTGATTTTTTTTTTTTATGCATTCTAAAAAACAACAGGACTCACAAGCTGAAGGAGAAGTGATCAGAGTCTGCTGTTTCCATGCTAGAGTTACTTCCGTGTTACAGGATGACAAGAGAGGTCTGAGAGGTACAGTTGACTCCGTGCGTCCAGGATATTTTTGAAGAACTGCACTTGATGTTTGGGCAGATTTTGGCTTGGAACTTTTTCATAGGTTTTTAAAGAACACTACAAGCAAGTCTGCTGGGTTTCTTTCTGCCTCGACGTGTTGCTTTTATTTTACATTTTATGTACAAATAACTTTCAACATTTCTGTATCCAACATGAATCGCAAACTGCGTGGAGGAGTTGTTCCTCCTGGTCATCTTTGGTGTGTAAACAGTTTTCCTCCATGTGTCTCAGATGAAGATGTAGTGATGTGGCTGCCATAGAGAGAGTGACCAAGCGATGCTGTAACTGTGCTGCTGTATTTCTACCCGTGATGTACTTGAAGGAGGATGCCCTCATCCACCTACACTCTTTTTTCTCATTTCTTTTTTCTTTCTTTTTTCTTTATAACCATGGTGGTGGTGTTCTTTCATAGATGTCTTATTTTGGTTTGGGATTTAATTTTTTTTAATAGCTGCCACCTTTTTCTTTCCTTCATTGGACAAGTCATCTTGTTTTGAGATCTGTACCACTGTCCAGGTTTTATGGCCTGAAGAATGGAGGACCTGCTGGAGGAAGATGTTTTGGACCAATGTACTTCTGCTTTGTGACTGTGACATGTTAATCTTTTTGTAACCTGAGAACAAAAATGTTTAGTAAAGGGATATATTTTGTGTTTTTTGAAACTTTTCAGTGCAATGAACAAAAGAGGAGGATGCTGAAGGAGTGTATGCGCAAAGTTTTAAAATAAAATTTTAAATTATGTATTATCTATATCCATCTATATCTATAACCGTAATTATTCTGCCTTTGTCCTGAGGAGTATCTAAGCATCTGTGTGTGTATCACTAATTGTGCAGTACAGACTAGTGTACACTCTGCTTTGCAAGGGAATGGATGTTTCACTGGCACGAGGTCTCACTCCTGAAGTGAATCCCAGTGAGGTGCATTAGGGTACGGGTTGGTCTGGAAGAGTTCAGCTGTAGGACAACTCTGTGAGCTGCCGTGAGGTCGTGATTCATTGC